CTGAAGGACTGCACCCCATGGAATGGACCCAGGCTGGAGCAGTTCGTGAAGAACTGTTGTTCATGGGGGGGACTCATGCTGGAGAAGTTCATGGAGGACTGTCTCCCATGAGAGGGACCCCACGCTGGTGTGGGGGAAGAGTGTGAAGAGTCCTCCCCCTGAGGAGGAAGGTGCCACAGAAGCGTCTGATGAACTGACTGCAACCCCCATTCCCTGTCCCCCTGTGCCACTGGTGGGGAGGACATGGAAATCAGGAGAGAAGTTAAGCCTGGGAAGAAGGTGGGGGTGGGGGGAAGGTGTTTTATTATTTGGTTGTATTTCTCATTATCCTTCTCCGATTTGATTGGTAATAAATTAAGTTTATTTTCCCCAAGTTGGGTCTGTTTTGCCCATGACAGGGACTGGTGAGTGATCTTTCTCTGTCCTTATCTCGACCCACAAGCCTTTTGATATATTTCTCTCCCTGTCCAGTTGAGGGGGAGGAGTGATAGAGCCACTTTGGTGGGCACTGGGCATCCAGCCAGGGTCAACCCACCACAGATTGTCACGTCCTGGGAAAGAGGACTCGTGGTAGGTGGGCTGGCCTGGACAGATAGGGAAAGCAAGTGGTGTGGTACCTGCCTGGGACTGAAGTGACTCCAGGACACATCAGCTGTAATAGAAAAAAATGAAATACAGGGAGTGGAGAGAATGGAGTGAGTGGAGACGAGAAACAGTGCTGGCATCAGGGGTGAAAAGTGAAAAGTTTGGCCAAGAACAAGGTGAAGAACTTCAGACTGCCTGAACTTGTTCCTTCTTTAGAGCAAAGAGTGGGGTGCCCAGCAGAATCCCAGAATGGCCTGGATTGGAAAAGCCCTGTAAGATGATCGAGTCCAACCATGAACCCATGTCCCTCAGCACTGTGTCTACACGACTCTTCAATCCCTCCAGGGATGGGGACTCCACCACTGCCCTGGGCAACCCCTTCCAATGCCTCAGAACCCTTTCAGCAAAGAAATTCTTCCTCACATCCCATCTCAACTGCCCTGGGCACAACTTGAGGCCATTTCTTCTTGCTTGTCCTGTCACTTGTTCCTTGGTTGAACAGACCCACCCCCACCTCTCTGCACCCTCCTTTCAGGGAGTTGGACAGAGCCAGAAGGTCTCCCTTCAGCCTCCTCCAGGCTGAACAACCCCAGTAGTGGGAAGGTGCTTCAGCAACGCCAGCAGGCCAGGTCTGAGCCCAGGCTGATAGAAGTGCTCGTGCTGTCAGGGCCATGTGTGTCACCAGCCTGTCCCAGCTCATCTCCTCAGCTCAAGCTGCTGAACTGGGATGTGCTGTTCTGTTATGTGGGGCAGAGCCCCTCACTCTGCGACAGGGAGCAAGGCTGGTGGGTGAACTCAGCAGTCACAGCCTCTTCCCACGGCAAGATCGTGCAGGTTTTACTTTCTGATCCCTCAGCTGAATGTTTCAGGGTTGAAACAAACACATTTTGCTGGGTCTTGTGCCAAAACTTGAGGCCGTGTTTGTGACAGCAATTTCCCTTTCTCTGCCCGGTGCCGGAAGTGTTTTTGTTGTCCTAATCCCCAGGCTCAGAGACTTCAATTGTAGTGGAGCCTGAGCTGCTTTTCAGCCTCGGAGCAGCTTTGTGCTCCAGGTCTCTGTATTTAATGAGATCAGTTCATGGAAATCAATGTGATGTTTTACACGCTGAGGTAGGGTCGTGTTCCAGGTAAGGCATCAAAGATCAACTGGTTTAATTTTGGTTCCCCTTTTCCTTGCAAACCCAAAGGATTCTTTCCTCCTCTTCAGTTCCTGTAGTTCAGGGCAACTTTTACTGTGTACTTGCATTTCCAGGGTCCCAATCCATGTTCCTGCTTGTGGGAGTGATGGGGCTGAAGGCCAGTGTGATGAGCAGGCAGTGCAGGAGCAACCTGACGTGTTGGGGATCTGCTCAGGCACTGCCCGGAGGGTGAGATGGTTCCTTCACCTCTTCCCCTGTAAACCTGTGCTGTGGGGTTTTGAGGGGTGAGCTGGGAGGTGGCAACCATTTCCCTTCTCTGGGCTGTGACAGCTGATGGATGAGGGTTGATGGTTTTAAACTAGAAAAGGGCAGATTTAGGTTGGATATCAGGAAAAGTTCTTCAATATGAGGGTGGTGGATCATTGGAACAGGTTGCCCAGAGAGGTGGTGGAGGCCTCATCCCTGGAGATATTCAAGGTCCAGCTTGATGGGGCTCTGAGAAACCTGCTCTAGTGAAGATGTCCCTGCTCACTGCAGGGGGTTGGACTAGATGACCTTTGAAGGTCCCTTCAACCCAAACCATTTAATGATTCTATGGAGCGAGGGCAGCTGTGTTAGTGCTCGTGTGCTTGACAAAAGACTGGGGCCAAGAGCAGCGGCTGGTGTGGGGTGGTGTGGGGTGCACAGCTGGTACAAATCCTGCCTGTCTGTACTTCTGCACCCACCAAGGGGGTACTTTCAGGGTTAAAACAAGGGAAGTTCAAGCTCTCTTTTCAACTTGCTGTCATGGATGCCATCCTTGGAAACAGGGTAGTATGTGACAAGAAGAACAGAATAAGGAAAAAGAGAAGTGCAGAGCTGGAAATAGTTCCTTACATAAGAGCTAGCGCTTCAATCTCATTATTGTCTTAAGCAGCAGACACTTGGCTGCCTCTGACTCCTACGATGCAAACCACAATCTGATAAGCAATCAGCTTTGGGAACCTGGCAGGTGCCAGGCACTATGACACAGCCAGTGCCCCTCAGGCAGGAGCTCACCACTGCTCCTCTGAGCTCACAGCACTTGTCCCAGTCAGTGTGTGCCGGGCAGGAGTGTCCCCATAAAGCCAGAGCTGCTGTCCCACGGCCTGTAACAGGAATCACTGCTTTGGAGGGTCCAGCGTGATGAGGCAGCTGGGGACGAGGCGTGCGAGTCTCTCTGCCAGTCTGAAGATAGGACATCACCGGGGCTGCTCCCGGACACCGGAGGAAGAGCAAGTCCACATCCCGTTTGCACAGGACAGCCTGGTAAAGCAATGGAGCTCCATGCAGAACATGACAGATGGAAACCAGGAGAAAAGTAAGTCTCCTATCCAAAGGAATAAGTACTTGCTCAACATTAACGTGGGTGGCACATTGTTCCAGATAGCTTACAAGGTAGTGGCCCGGTATCCCATCACCCGGCTCGGGAAGCTGGCCCTTTCTACAGACCCTACAAAGAAGCTGCAGCTCTGTGACGACTACTCAGTGCAGAGGAACGAGTACTTCTTCGACAGAGATCCTTCAATTTTCCACTACATCTTCCACTTTTACCGCAGCGGGGTTCTGTGGATAATGGATGAGATGTGCCCCAGTAACTTTGTGGAGGAAATTGAGTACTGGGGAATCCATCTAAAATACTCCCAACGCTGCTGCTGGATTCTGTTTGAGGAAAAGCAGGATGAACTCAGTGAGCACCTGAAAATACAGAAGGAGCTGGAGGCAGAACTGGAGCCCCTGCACTCAGCAGAGCAGTTTGAAGGGAAATTTCTGGGACGGTTTCGGAAGATCATCTGGAACCTCATTGAGAACCCGTACTCTTCTGTCCCAGCCAAGATCATTGCTGTCATGTCAAGCTTCTTTGTGCTTATCTCCATCGTGGGCATGACACTGAGCACGGTGGAGGAGATGAAACACATGACAGTGAAGATGTGGATGGAGCAGCTGGAGACAATCTGTGCCATCTTCTTCACCTCTGAATACCTCATGCGGCTCATATCCTCCTGCAGCTTCAAGAACTTTTTGCGAGCAGCGTTTAATGCTGTAGACCTGGTGGCCATCCTGCCCTTCTACATCCAGATCCTCTTTGAAAATCTGGACGAAGGAGACATGCTTTACCATGAAGAACTGCACAAGGTGGAGAATGTGAGCAAGCTGGGCAAAGTCCTCAAGCTCATCAAGCTCATGAGGATCTTCCGCATCCTCAAGCTGGCGCGTCACTCCACTGGCCTCCGGGCCTTCGGCTTCACCATGCGCCAGTGCTACCAGCAGGTTTGCTGCCTCCTTCTCTTCATCGCCATGGGGGTCTTTACCTTCTCTGCTCTCATGCACTCGGTGGAACACGATGTCCCAGGCACCAACTTCACCAGTATTCTGTGGTGGGCAGCGGTAAGGTGTGAGCATCTTCTTCCAGAGAAGGGCGCAGTGGGGCTCCATGGGTAGGGGCTGCCCTGGTTCTCGAGGGACTCAGCACTGCTGCTGGCCAGGAGGCAGAAAAAGGCCCAGTCTTCCCAGCAGTCAGTAATGGTGGGAAACCCAGAGCCCTGCACACTCTCGGGAAAGAAATCAGAGATTTGGACTAAGCTCAGAAGCTCGAAACCCGGTGCTGGGGTGGGATGGTGGGACAGAGGTGGTGGCGTGGGCACCTCCAGGCCTGGGTTAGTGACAAGAGAGATGTGACTCAACCCAGGCTTTATCTGTCATGGGACTCAAGTGTTGGGTGGTTGTGGTTCAGACCTCATGGGCATGGGGACAGCTGCCTGGGACAGCCTGAGGCTTGTGCAGCCATTGCAGCCCGGCCAGGCTTGGGAGGCGTGAGGGGGTCAGAGCTCGTGCAGCTGAGCTGAGGGACCCAGAGCTGCATGAGGGAACCAGAGAGACGTGGTCACACTGTGCCCCAGCTTCTGTCCCGAGAGGGGACCCAGACTGGGGTGTGCTGCAGCCAGGGACAGAAGCTCTTCTTTGCTGCCCTGCTCATGCCAAGAGCCAGCAGCTCTGCTGAGCCCAGCGCTATAATAAACCTGGGATTACCAGATGAGGAGCAGCTAAAGCACTTGATAGCCGGGGGTTACGAGGGCATTTTGATTTACGGATGAAATGATCCCACAGATCACTGCTGCTCTTGTAATCCCCCTTGGCCACTACAGGCTGCCTGCTTCAAATTCATCCTTCCTCGAGGAAGAGCAAAATCCCCAGATTTGAGTATTTAAATGTCACAGGCTGATCCTGTCCCTGGTCAGCATGGCTCCATGCAAAGCCCAAACCCCTCTGTCTCAGCTCTCACCCTGTCCCCACAGTCCTGCTCCTCTGTCATCCAACTGTGGTTCCTCCTGGTGCATTCCTGGACTGTGCCTCCCTTTCCCTTGGAGGGATGGTCTGGCTCCTGGAGAGAAGCTTTGTTCCTGTGGGACCGGGCAGCTCAAGGCCAGGAAGCAGTGGAGCCGCTGCTCCATGGGGGCAGGAAGCTCCAGCAGACAGTTTGGCTGCTGGGAAAAGTTCAGCTCAGGGATGTCCAGCTGCTTTTGAAGAGACACACGCAAAGGGGAGGAGGGAGCAGGGACGTGCTCCTGGTCTCTGCTCTTGGGGCCTCATCCAGCCCCTTCCTTGGGCTCTCCGAGGAGCTGAGCCCTGGCTGTGCAGGCTGCTGGAGCAGGGAGAGCCGAGGTGGAGTACCCTTCCCATGGGACACCCAGCTCCCAGGCAGGGGCACAGGGAGGTGGGTTCCAGCACCTGGTCAGGTCTGGTTCATGGAGGACCTTATCCTTTCCCTTCCTCACCCAGGTCAGCCTCTCCACTGTGGGCTATGGAGACACTGTGCCCAACACGGTGCTCGGCAGGGTCGTGGCATTTGGCTGCATCTCCTTTGGCATCATCCTCAACGGCATGCCCATCTCCATCCTCTACAACAAGTTTTCTGACTACTATGCCAAGCTGAAGGCCCACGAGAACCAGACCAGCCACTCGCTCAAGCTCTACAAGAGGATCTGCTTGAAGGACCGAGTCCTGCGGAAGCTGTTGGATTGCTGCAGATCCAACTCCTGCTGTCACCACTGACCAGCCCTTCACCCCTCAGACACCCCCTCTGCCATGATGTGTCCCATCCCTCCAGCAGATCCTGTCCCCCGAGGGACTCCATGACTTGGGCAGCAAGCCACGAGTCACAGTGTGTCTGGGTGGGGCTGCTGTCACCTCGAACTCTTTGGAGGGATGAAATGTGCCCGTGACTGTGTTGGGACCTTCCTCAATGTTGCGTGTTGGACTCTGCTGCCCCACAGGGTGGTTGGTAAAGGAACAGCTGAAGAACATGCTGCATGGCCAAGGCAGGACGTCTGTCAGTCATGGTCTGGGGCATGGGCCAGCCCCAGGACATGGGGATTGAGCAGTGGGATGCATGGGGCTGAACTCTGTCACCTTTCTGAGGATGATAGGACACCCATGATGAGATGAAGCCCAGTGTGACACTTGTGTGGGAGCTGCTCTGCTCCTTGGTTGAGTGGGATACGCAGAGGCTCTCCCTGCCAGGACCCCATGGCTCCTTCGAAGCCAAGCAGATGTTCAGCCCAGGCCGAGCCCAGCATGGGGATTTGGGTGAAGGCCTCCAGAAAAGACTGTGACCGTGTGTCCTTCCAGCCAAACCCACTTCCATCCCACTGCCCTGGGAGCCTGGGAGCACGGTCCTGGCTTGGGATGCTGCTGCCATGGGAACCACAGGCACCCTCAGGGTGCAGAGCTGGCAGCCAGAGCATCCCCAGGAACAGACATTCAATAAATCAGGCCAAACCCATTCATTGTCTTGGATTCTTGGCCAGCAGCTTCGTGTGATTTAGTAAACTGCTCGTAATTCGGGGTGAGGAGGGGACATCTCCTCAGGGCTCACAACCACTTCTTGCCCATCGATGGGAGGTTGGGGCTCTCCTGGGATGCAGGTGAGCCTGACAGTGTGTTGGGTTTGGGATGAGATGCTTGGCCCTGGGTGTGTTGGAAGAGGAGCTGAGACATCTGCATGTGCTCAGGACGTGCTGGGTGGCTCTGCCCTGTGTTCAGGTCCTGGGGGTGGTGGGGAGCAGTGGGGGGACATGTCTGTGGGGCACAGGGCGAGGATTTACCCTCCGGTGTGGGACCATAACTACTCAATAGACTCCCAGGGTGGGAGTCACCCTTCCCCTGGGTGGGATGGGGAGAGGGACACCAGGCTGCACAGGCGGGGAAGGGCTGGCATCTGCTGGTGCTGCTTCTGGATGAGTGGCAGAAGGAAACTGGTGCCTGCCAAGCCAGGGTGGGATTTGGTCACCTGCAAGCTGGGCTTGGAGATGAAGAGCTGCTGGAGGGGTCCTGGTGTCAGCCTGGGACCATGGTCAAGCCACTGCTGTTGGAAACTGTTGGAAAGGGGGTTGGAGGTGCTGAGTCCTCTGACAGGAACAGCAATGCTCCTGCTGAGTCCTGGACCGCAGGGCAAGGGAGCTGTGCCAGGGGGTGTGAGACGGGAACCCCTGCCCTGACCCCCAGCACCTACACCCGCTCCCCAGTACCCACATTGACACCCACCCTCTCTACACCTCCCCAGCACCCACCCGACCCCACAACATTGGTCAGCTCTGTTTTCCACCCCATTTCTCTTCCACGAGGACACTTCACTCTGGGCACAGCGCAGCCTCCTCCAGCCACCTTCACCCAGAGTCGTCCTTCCCCACCACCCACCTGCCCTGGCAGTGTTGCCTCCGGACCCCTCTACACCCCACCTCCACCCCAGACCCTGTCATTGCATCTCCCCATTGCCTGCTCAGGGATCCCCACTCCCCTCCTTGCGATCTGGTTGACGGATCCTGAGGTCATTCAGCTTCCAAGGAAGGAGGCTCAGCCCCCACCCTAGAGACTGCACTGCTGCTAAATCTTCATCTGTCTGCTTACACCACCCCCCACCATGCCCTTGGCCATCCCAGGCAGTGGTCCCACGAGCAGCCCTTGGGAAACAGCATATTTAATAGTTCCTCTGAATTCATTGTACAAGTTACAGCAATGCAGAAATGTACAGACATTTACAGGACACTATACAGCTGGTTTCTGTCATATATTAGTGCTCTTGCTATATACATATAGTACAGCCTGTGGGAAGGGAAGGAAACCCGCACCTCTGCGCAAGGAACCCCACACCCCTGCGCAAGGCACCCCGAGATGGAGCTGGTCCCCTGGGGCTGTCAGGTCCATGAAATCAGAGTTCGTCCCTGAGCTTTCCTGGGTATGACCGGCAGGTGACAGCGCCCAGGACAGAGCCGGCCACCACCTTGCTTTGCTTGGCCCATTTCTTTTAGAGGGTTTTGTTGGACAGAGACCCCCCACAGAGACATTCTGGAGGGAGAAGCCTCCACCACAGTGGCATTTCCACCTTCCTGCCTCAGTGGCAGCCGCAGCTCCCGGCCACCATGTCATCGTACTGCTTGAGGACCACGTTCTCATCATCATCAAAGTAGAGGAGGTTGATGGAGTGAAGTTTGTCAGGCACACAGCAGGGGCTGCTGACCCCCTCGCTCAGCTTGAGGGCGTTGATGATGGACTGCACGGTGGCATGGTTTGTCGGCCGCATGTTCTCGCCCAGCGGGAAGGGGCAGGAGCCCTTGCAGTGGTAGGCATTGTACCCCCGGGGCGAGATGATCCAGCCGGACCAGCCGATCTCCTCAAAGTCAACAGACAAGGGATGCCTCTGGCATGGCTGGAGGTGGTCCAGCGAGCGTGTGCTGCGTGGCCTGGTCAGCTTGGGCACTGACATCTTGGCGGGGAGAAAGGAATCCTGAGGCTGTAAATCTGACAAAAAGGAGCACGTTACGCTGTGAGCCATCGCCCGAGGAGGACCTGGTGCAGCCCCCTACCTGGGCACCCTCCCTGCAGGTTTTGTCTGCAGCTGTCTGGTGCAGTGAACCCTTTGGTCACAGCCTGTCACCAGCCCAGGCAGAGCCACCAGGAGGTGACAAACTCACAGCCCCGTGGCTGCACTCGTCAGGGCAAGCGAAATCCAGACTTACATCTGCGAGCCTTCACCCCTGCACAGACTAAACCAGAAAGGAGATAGCCTCTCCCTCTGGGTGGAGAAGGAACTTTGAAGGAACCCATGTGCAGGGAGCACCCCAGCACCCCACGGGCAAGGGTATGGTGGCACTGAGGGAACTGTGCCAGGGCATGTGGGACCCACCTGGGAGTCAGGGCAAGCGAAATCCAGACTTACATCTGCGAGCCTTCACCCCTGCACAGACTAAACCAGAAAGGAGATAGCCTCTCCCTCTGGGTGGAGAAGGAACTTTGAAGGAACCCATGTGCAGGGAGCACCCCAGCACCCCACGGGCAAGGGTATGGTGGCACTGAGGGAACTGTGCCAGGGCATGTGGGACCCACCTGGGAAACCGGCCACAGGCAGGGACGGTCCCCGGG